CAACAACATCATCAACAACAAGAAAAACAACAACAACAACAACAACTACAACAACAACTACAACAACAGCAACAACAACAACAACAACAACAACAACAACTACAACAACATCAACAACAACAACTACAACAACAACAACGATGACAACAACGACAACAGCAATTACAACAACAGCCACGTGAAAGAAAACAGGGAGGTGTTGGGGTGGGGAAGGGAGGATGGTGGATAAAATAAAGGAGAGAACAAAAAAGAAGACACTAAGAATCACGAAAAGTCTCAACAATTCTTTCATTCATCATTTTCCTTCTTTTTTTTCTCAGCTAGAGGAAAAAAGACGACTTATTTCTTAAACTTTATCTTGCCATTTCACATTCTTCTTCATTCTTAAAATAATATTGTTGTTGACTTTGAAAAAAATAAGACGGATAGGAAACGACTTGTTTTATAGTGCAGTTTACATTATTATGGACCATCGTTAGCCCGAGTTATACAGCTCCTCGCGGGTATTTTTACTGTTTCTGTATGTGATTCCACCGTAAAATATCAGAAATAAATGTATACCCCGGCCAACGGAAGTGTCACTCGCTGACCGGAAGTCCATATTTCCAGGCTTCTCTAGAGGATGCAGGTGTCCCCATTCCTTCCTGTGGAAGTGAGAGGGAGAGAGAGAGAGAGGGACAGAGGGACAGAGGGAGAGAGAGAGAGAGAGATCTACACCTAGCCTTCTCGGACAAGGGCGAAATGCAGATTTCTCGGATTTCATTATTTTGACGAGCGCCTGATCTCACCGCGATGCCTTACAAAAATTTCTTTCTGGGCTTAGAGCAGTTGAGCAGCTTGCTAGCGGAATATTGTTCACGTTTTTGCACTTGCACATCGTTAGAATTCTGCCAAGCATGTTACATATAGGGAATTTTAATTATCGGTCCGCAGTAAGCGATATAATATTTCCAAAACAAAAGCAAGAACAGACAGATATAGAAATTCATTCGTACCAACTGCAATGAGGTTACTGAACATAGTGCTACAAATGAAACAAATTAGAGAGAGAGAGAGATGGAAAGAGAGAGAGAGTGCGTATATA